GCAAATATTTTTTTTTTTTAAAAATGCCTCATTGCTCCTCTACCTTTTCCTTTTTGCGTAAAAGCTGCTATTGTTTTTTGTTATTCATTCTTCATGTGGCAGTGACTTCACAAGGGAGTGCAGAACAAGCTGATTACAGGAATAGTTTTTTTGGAAAGCATTTACCGCAGTGGAAAATCTCAAAATGTTGTATAAATATACGTCAAATCCCATAACCAAAGCCTCACCATGGCTCTGTAACTCACGACCACACAATGTCCTCGGATGATCCATTAGTTCCCATAATGGGATTTTTCGCACATCAAAAGGTCTGTTGAGAAGGCTGTTTATTATAATTCTGGCTGGGTAGACAGGCACGAGGAGACAAAGAACGTCTAATTGCGATATCGCATGCAAACTGTTAAAACATAAGCGTATTGCTCATGCCTACAAAAACTCTTCGAGAGAATGTATATATATCGCACGTTTTAGTAATTGTTTCACAAAGCCAAACACGATAAAAATAACTTGAAACTAGGTTCCGGTTGCATTTCCAAACGAAAAGGGTTATAATTTGGATCATTTGATGTTGTAACCACTTATACTTTCTATGGTGAATCCTAACCTAGTTAATGTTTTCTTCTATTTGAGCAGTTGTCTTAAGATGTACTTTGCAAGTACAGGAAGAGCTGTATTAATTTAGCAGCTACTGTATAGACTGGCAGTGTTCTAACTATCTTAGAAGGACCTCATGTTAACTATATAAACAATAATTAAATTTTATATGAATTTGTCAGTATGGTAAATCTCTTTTTCTATTTAAGTTATACTGCATCAAGAAAATGGTACCATAAATAACTCTTAAGAAAAACAGCATTGTATTTTGTGCAGTATTAAAGTCATGTTTCTCAGAGGGAGGAGAGACAGACAGACAGACCGACCGGCCTGTTTTTTTTTAAATCAGCATGTTGTGCAAATTCTCCGAAGAAAGTACAAACCAGATCTTGCTGTAGCGTGCAGGTGGGAACCCACACAATGAGTGTTTGTGAAGCAGCAAGAGGCATGTTCTGAGCTCTTATCTTCCATTGGTTTTAATGATAGCACAATAATGGTACTGCAGGAAATGGAGGGCAAGAGCCAGTGAGTTCTGTAGAAAAGCACATGACGGAGGCATTTGGGTATATGTAACCACAGGTTCTATTTTTGTTTTGGTTAGCCGTGTGTCCGACACACACGGAAACCCATCGCCTGTGCTTACGAGTATCCAAACCCAACCGAATTCCACATGTTACGCCACTTACACATGGACATTTCTCTTGGGTCTGGAATGGAAGGTGCACTTTCTTCTCTGAGGGAAATATCCTGCTTACCTAATCCTGGAGAGTGTTAGGCACAGGCTGACAAAAGCCAAGTCTTGGGGACCACAGAACGTGCGCTGGGTTACTTGCTGGAGTTAAAAACGGCTTAAAACCGCAGAGCTTACCATTGAGAGCACTGTTTGGCAGGACCACCCTGCCCTCTCAGGGCTTTGGCTTACAGGTTTAATAGGAGCAAAGTGTGAAGCACCTACAGGTTCCAGTTAATCCATCTGCTATTGAATCTGGACGGAGCACTGGGCTAATATCAACGTGTGGACATACGAGCAGCAAACCTGTTGCCATGCACTCTGGGACAAGTATGGATCTCTTTACTAACATTTGTGTCAATATTTTAATAATTTGACTTTTTTTTAATATAGCAAACGCACCCAATTAAATTGTTTGATTACAACCCCCCCCCCCACCCATCAGCAGAAATGGCGTGCTTTTCAATCGTCGAGTTCAGCTCAGCGTAAATTTGTGTAGAAATGAGAAGTTTTAGCCAGAGTCCATCTCTTCTGCTTTCAACAAAAAACTTCTATCCGGACAACGTTTGGGGAAGTAGGAAAGAAGCTGGTGATGGTGGTTAGTATATCTTGGGTTCAATGATCCTGTTGGGCAGGGCTGAATTACAACTTAACGTCGCACAGTTCCCCACACCAAGTTCCTCAACACGATTTCAGGGAAATGTGCAGAATGGAAGACGCACAAGTTGAATACAGCAGCAATCCCTCCAGGCTTTTCTTTTGTGTCTCCCGAGTTTATGAATGGCTGAGGTTTGAGCATCCTATACTGGCTTCAAACGGGCAACTTGTAGAGACATAGAGCGAGCTGAAGATGCAACATTTTCATTTCAGCACTGAATTTATTTTTAGTAAGCCATACACCCGTGGGAGGTTAATTTTTGGATATGTTTACAGGTGCAAGGGAAAAAAAGTGTGTGTGTGTGTGGGGGGGGGGTGAAAATCTCCTTGTGTACCATTTGTCTTTTAGTTTTCAAGCTCCTGCCTGCATGTCAGCTCCATAAATGCTGTGTATTTTCACCTCTTCTCTTCCTCCTGCCCCTGACCACCTACACCCAACTCACCACAACCGTAAGAAAGAAGAACCCGAACAGCTGATATTTATACAATGTTAAAAGCAACTTAGGTTTTTTAACAGTGCATCAAAGGAATACAGGGTAAAATCTTTCTACCTTTGCCTGAACCTGGGGGTATGCACCATGTCTGATTATTGTAGAGCAAACTAACCAACGAGTCAATATTTTTCACGGACTCAAACTGTTCTGGAGCCCTGTGTTTTTGCAAATTTGTGAATGTCCGTTTTCTAGTCATATATTCACCGCAAAAAGTACTTTTTGGGGAGGAGGGGGAGGAAAATCTGCCAGAATGTATTTTCTTTAACAGAACTATCGAGCAGATGTATGTTGAGTGGTGCAGGAGTTAAGGAAAGTGAACGAAAGTAAAGCAGGAAGTTTGATGACTGTTAACAGTACAAAAGGTCAAACACTTCCCACTGGCTCATGATGCTATCTTGACAGGGTGGTTCGAGCCATTCACTCTTGAGCTGAAGTGGTCCACAGTCTGAGTGGAACCTTCTTGACTGTTCATGCCTCGCTGGAACAGCAAGAGAGATTTGAATTGTTTTCCAGATCTACCGCAAATTGAGTCGAAAGAAATAAGAACGTAGCACCACCATATATCACCAGCATTATCACCCACAAAATATACAGTCAATTCACTTTACAGTCTATTCTGTGAAGTGCTTTGAGACATCTCAAAGACATCGCGAAGGATTATTATTATTACATTTGATATATTTGGAGTACTGTTTGCAGTTCTGGTCGTTATACTACAGGAAGGACATTGTAGCGATGGAGAGCTTGCAGTGTAGGTTTACAAGGATGTTGTTACCATCTGTCAAAAAATATTGGGGCAGATTGGTCTCGTGGTTAAGGTCCGGGCTGAAGTAGCATTAAGCTACACAGCTCAGAGGTTGAAGGCTCAAATTATGTTGTGTGCTGAGTTACTTGATGTGAGCTCCAGTAGGGACGCTGTGATTGACAGAGAGAGAAAACATCCAGGATTCATACCCTTGATTTTCTGTCTATTGATCCCTGCTAAAAGGGAGAACAGCATTGAGCTTGTCTAGGATTGACACCAGTTTTCTTCCCCCATTCTCCTCCCCCTGCCCCCCACTTTGATTGACTAGCCTATCATCACCTCCTCTCAAGGCCTATTAAAACTGCCATTGGGATGTGGCTGAGATTCAGAAAGCAGTTAAAAGGCAGCAGAAGTATTTAGCACAACATTTGACTGTTTTATAGATGATCTGTTCTGTTGTAATGGATATTTACATTGGCAATCCTCTTGATAGCTGCCTTCATACTCTGATGTTCCGTGCAAAAACTCTGTTCTCTTTTGCTAAACATATCTCTTTTTCTGTGTCCATCTTATTCAACTGGTTGGTTTCGTGTTTCTCAGACAAAATTGAAAGCATTTGTGTTGTATATCAGAATTAGATTATATTTTAGCTATTGATTTGACACAGTGTGAAATTTGCAAAATGAGGAACGTTTCATTTTGGGGAATGCCTTATCTAAACTCTGCATCTTGCTTCCTCCTGTATGTCAGAGAATGTTTTCAGGTGTATCTGAGAACAGGGGTATTTGACTGCTCCACCAGGAACAAACTGGGATGAAATGTAAATTAGTTGGTCAGAATTTTAGAGTTGGTTTTGGTAAATGACTTGTTTATAAACTCTGAAGATCACACCATAAAGAAACACTTCCTGGTGATGTTGTGCTTTGCAACTATAAACCAATGTCGTCTTGCTGTGTTTCTTTGTTGCATCCTAAAGTATTATCCTGGGTTAACTTTGTCAATCTTATTTAAAATTTTGGGGGGGAAACTCCATTTCAAGCAAGTTGGGTTTACATCAGGTGAATTACTTGCCTTCAAATCAGCAATCACTGCACTTCACAATAAAAAGTCCACAAAGAACTTTGTGACATATTGATGCGATAAGACGCTACGTCAAATGAAAGGATGATGATCCAGTGTTAAGCGTTGTGCGGATGCTCAAACTTGTCATGTGAAGCTGGCAATATAGCTTGGTGGCCTAAGGTACTTTCCTAGATGAGCTATTCTTTGTAGACATGGTAACAGGTGTACAGGACCATCTGGTTGGTCCAAAGGTTAAGCTTTAGCTCTGGGAAGCATCACATATCTTGATGTACAGTCCGCAATTTCCAGCATAGATTGCTGGATAACCATCATGACTGAGAACCTGGGCTCACTTCCCTCTTCCCTAACCGAGAGATGCTGAGTGCAATAGCACTACCCCAATTGTCACCCTGACTGAGAGCAGCTATTGCAACACGGGCCAAGGATTGAATCTCGAACCTTCTCTACGATTCCGTAGCACATGGTCCGCATTGTTATGACAAGGCCTTGATTTCAAACATAATCCTGATAATCCTGACTTGCTTTGCTTGAATATACCGTAACTTCAGGGAAATATTACTCTTAACGCAAACCCTATTAAAATCTGAGGTAACTAATCTACGGGATCACACAGATCTCGGGTACGATTCAGTATTTTTGTTTAGTGTTGCTAATATGTTGGTACTAAATGGCATGTCTTTTTATTGTGCACTTTCAGGTTCATGCATTGTTTTGAAGTGAAGGGAACACAATAGTTGCTATGGAGGAGGCAGTGCAATCCAGCCGAGCACGTAGCTGGAAAAATGCTACAGAGAAACGGAAGGCCTTTGCGAGAAGCAGAGATTCTTGGCAAGTGTCTGAGGCAGAGGATATGGGCGTTAGGACAGGGCAATCCGGAGACAACACTTCGAATCTAGAGCTGGCTAACACTTCGTCTACAGGTAGGATTTCAGCAGTCGTGGAACCAGAAACACAAACGATTTTGTGTGCAGGCCTTGACCGAATAACATACTATTAATAATAATGGACATTATCCATTGTTGGCTCAGTAGCTTTTAAATTGTGCGCCTGTGGCGTGTGTGTTTGCTTGCGTGTGTGTCAAATGTTTAAAGTTCTCTGAACTGGTTGCCAGGACTTGCCGAACAGTCAGTGTGCAAACGTGGACACACACACGCAAGAACAACAAGAACAAAATACATTTGCGCAGCGCCTTTCACTTCGGGAGGATGTCCCAAGGCGCTGGATGTCCTCCCGACATCCATCGTGTGCACACACACCTCAGCGAAGCTAGATCGGTTGATTTAATCGCTTACCTCGCTTTCTATGCCTCATTACGCTTTGGTGCAATTGTTTGTAAAAAGTTTACTTTTTTTTGAACGAAAATCCAGTTAGTTAATTATTTTCTCTGGACTCTTTACTGCTGAAAATGATAGATTTAGGGGAATGATAGAAATTATACAACATTGTGAATTTTCCCCTCGACAAAGTCCTCTTCTGGACACTTCTTAAAGTATTGTGCACCCGGTTGTTCGAACTAGACCATACTGGCTGACGTGATTTATAGACCTGTCTCTGGAAGATCTTACGCGTGATCGTTTAGTGAGCTCACTTCATGCCAAGCTGTTATTTCTGCGATCTTTGACACACAAGTATGTTTTTGCGCAGATTAAACGATTTGAGTTTGGTATGCGCCTGAGTGAAGGAAATCTAATTATATTAATAGAATTCTTGCCCTACAACCTCTTGTTCCCCATATTTTAAACCAAATGCTTTGAAATCCAATGGACCAAATGAGGAGAAGATTAGGTTTTAAATTGCACAATAACTGGATCAGTGTAAGTGGGATCTGGTTAAAAAAGACAGGGTTTTATCCACTCTCAGTCACTCTGGATTTCAGGCTGCGGCTGTGTGATTGGAGTGATCAGGATTTGCAGAGTTAACTTACTGCTATGTTTAGCCTTTGAGAGAGTTCCTTAAATAGGATGAACTAACAAACCTGCTGGGTTAATCTTCATCCAAATTTAGGAGTGTATTCCATATTTGCTGGAACGTTTTGGTATCCTATGTACTTAAGCCAACTTCAAATATTTACATCCCTACAGAGACACATACAGAAACATATGCTGAATTATCTTTTCAGTAGTTTTCCTCTCCCACCTACTGCCACCCGATACCACCATCATTATGGCCAATATAACCTGTTTACAAGATCTGAATAAATATTAAACTAACGCACTCCTTTTTTTGACAGAAAATGGCATATCAAATAAGAAGATTGAAATTTGGCTTCAAGATTGTGGGTAAGTCTGGTTGTTCTGCACAAAGACGAAGAATTAAATAGAAAATTCTCTTCAAAAGCAACACTTAAACTTGTCAGATTGAATTCAGGAAAGTTCAAGAATTGTGATAATTTCATTTCTAAGTTTTTAAAACCTTTGCAGTGTTTTGAATATTGTGTTTTCAGAAAGGTCTTTACAACAACCTAAATAGCAATGCCCAACTTCAACGATTTTAGTGATTAATATCTCTTTTTGTATTTGTATCCATTCCATTTTTAAACTGCAGAGAGAGAGAGAGAGAGGACGATTGAGAAATAAATAAGTGGCTCTCTTAAGGTCAGGGGAGTTGATCTGAAATCTAACGTAATATGCAATCCTCTGTTCTGAGGGCTTGGAAGAGTGCCAAAGAGTGGTGAATCTTTCACCTCTTTGTACAATTCAGCTGGAGAACAGCGCTGCCTGTTTTTTTTGTGTGTGTGTTCTTTCCTTAGAGTTTTTCCAAATGGCTCGATGTATGTTTTGACAAAAGAAATTATTTAGAACCATTCCCCGCCAAGCTTCTTCCTCCCCCACCCAGCAAGGCAAGTCTGGCAAGACTGGACACGTTAGCACTTCTTAACAGCGCTTAATTCAGCAATACCTCTCCCTTGCATCACGCCATCTCCTTCCCCTCCTCCTTGACGTCCACAAAGCACTAAATCTGGCGTTTTGACCTGAGAGCTGTCAGGAAGCTTCCAAGGAGTTGAAGTACAGTTCAGATGGTAAACCTAATCCAAGTGGTCACCTGCTGGAACCTCATCTATCAAACGTTCTGGGACGCTACCCCACGTGAGGGGTGCTATGTAAATTCAAGCTGTTGTTGTAGTTGCTGTTGGGCAGCATAGTTTTACTGTTCACTTCTCCAAGAAATAAAATGTTTAGAAAAGATAGATCGGGTGGGGAAAAAGTAAACTTAAGATTTCAAAAATAGGCCCAAGAAAAGAATAATTAACAATAATTCTTACATTTTGTTTAGCTCCTTTCAGGGAGGACGTCCCAAAGCACTTTACAGGATATACTGTAAAGCGCAGTGAGTGTTTCCTTTTTGGGCAAATGGACAAGTGGCCAAACTGAATTAAACGTATTTTTAATCAAAATTGCTTTTATAGTTTAAAATGAATCTAGTAATACAACTCCTCATATTGAGTAGCTTTATTGCTGTAAGAGTTTATTTTCATTGAGCCAGTTTGTGAATGGAAAGTGTTCCAATTCAGGGAGATGGTTGGAACTGCCAGTAGTCTAAGAGTTAATTGAGCTTGTTTTGAAAACTATCTACTGACTGACTGAATATACTCGTTCAAACAAGAGGTCATCATCTCAATAAAAGTAAAAGATCAGGTGCTTCGAGCAGTTCTATGCTGAAAGGTGTGTACCTTAAATGAACCTGCAAAAGCTAAGGTTACTGTGCCTCTGGAGTTAAAGGGAATTATAGAGAGCAATTGACTGTCTGCAGCTGCTTTCAATAAAACGTTTGCACATGAACCATTACAACTGATATGGCGTTTGTCCAATGAAACCACGGTCTTACTCTTTCTCAGCAGCACAAATATGTGAAATAGTACCTGCAGCCCATTGTCTTTGACCTTTATGTGTCCTTTTACTGCAATCCTCCTCCTCCTACTCTCTTAATGATAAGATTGCATTAGGGCAGGAAGTTAACCTTAACTAATCTTCGCATGTCATAGGCTTGACGGTAGAAAGAAAATAAGATTCAGGAAGTTAGAATATTTGCACAGTAAGCTTTGTTTGCCCAAATGTTAATTTTCATGTCAAATATTGTTTATCTCCAGTGCTAGCAAAGGTTCTGAACTTCACGTTGAGATACTTTCTCGGCCAACATTTTAAGGAAAGAGGAAAAAAAAAGGCTTCCTCCTGAATATTTAAAAAACAATGGGGTGAAAATTGGGACATGTGTTGTGCAAGTTACCACTGATGATAATTGTGGAAAAATAAAATCACTTCTAACCTGCTGCAGTTTGGCATTGATGTGTCAGTTAGTGAGATACCAGTGATGCTGTGACTTACAGTATCACAATATGAGTGGTGTTAACAAGTTTTAGCATTTCAAAAATGTTAAAAGGGGCTGTTAAACAATGTCCTGTAACGTTTCGCCCGCAAAATATACAGTCAATTCACTTTGAGTCGTCTCAAAGACATGATAAGGCTCTATATCAAATGCAAGGATTATTATTATTAATAATAATACTTCCTGCTTTTCCAACCAGCCTTCATTTGCTTACAAAATCAATTTAGTAGTGTAGCACACTAAAAGCACATGCAATGCTCTTAATGTGTGTGGAGTCTTATCAGCTATAAAATAATGCAATCCATCTTGTAAAGTTTATGCATATTCAATATATAGACCGACTGTTTTATAGTGTGGGTAGGTTGTGAAATGCAGTATACTGCTAGCACTGATTGGCTAGCTTCTTGTACTTAACGGGGTATCAATGTGCTTATAGAATGATGTCAATGGCAATCTGATGACCTGGAAGTGTTGACTGGCGACTTCCCCCCCCCCCCCCACCCCCCACATCCCAATGACACTGAGCTGGGTATAGCTGACCATAAGCAATTGTCAAAATAATAATAATAATGGGGTTGATCTCCATTAAAATCTTTCCTTAGCCTTTTCCTTGCCACATTTCTTTTTGAAACTAATTAAGTGTTCCTTGAAGATGCAGATGTGTTATGTGTTTTTTTTAAAAAAAACTGAAAATGGTACGAGAGCCTTCAGTTAGCCAATTATGTACTTATCCTGACATCTTGCTTTCTTCTCTTCCAAAGCTGATTTCCGTTGAAGATCCCAATCATTCTCTCTCCCGCTGTGTTATCTTGCTACTGTCTAGCTATAATGTTTTTGGGTTTTAAAATCCTTCAAATATTAAAAGGTTGGCATTTCTGTTCAGCAAAATTGAATCCCTACATTTTTTTTGTAAGGATAATAATGAAGCCAGGCTTCAGTATAAACAGTAAAGGGGTTACAGTCACTTAATTTGCATTCTGTGATTGCAGAACTCCAATGGGAGTATCTCTGGATGAGCAAAGCCACCCGACGTTAAAAGGTAAGATTTGCTTTAACCTGTTATAAATCCTACCTTTTTAAGCCATTTAAAATCTGGGTTAAATCTTAGTACTGGTATCATGATATGAAGAGCTGTTAAATAAAACCTCACTCAGGAGACGAGGAGAAGAGGGAAGTTTAAAGGCTTGAATGAAAAGCAACGTAAGTAACCCAATCAATGTGCTTTTTTCATCTAATGCTGTACTGAGATGCTTCACAATTATAAAACAATAATAGGGCTCAAAATTCTAATTGATGCCATGATAAATGATTAGCTAATGATTTTACTTAGTTTGCAATTAAATTGTCACATGTGAAATACATTGTTTTTGCTGTAATTCTGATCAGAGTTCAAGAAATGAACTTTGCGTGTGTGTATTATATATGTTGCTTTATTTAGCATAGATCTTTGAAGGAGTTTGATTCCCACTTTGTATTTTTTTTAAAAAATTAAGTTGAGTTGCCTCAGGACGTTTGCACTTCTCACATCTAGAAAGAGCTGAGTTGCAATTATAGGATGTTTTTGCACTATCACTAAACCTGGAGAAAGTCATCAGAATATAATTGGCTGGTTTTGTAAAGGTTAATTATCAGGATTTTATCCCATGGAATTCTGCTTCATTTGAAAGCCTGGGTCATTCAAAATTGACTTAAACGTTTGTGTATCTGAGTCAGCAGGCTGATAATAGCTCATCTGTATTTCCTCTTTCAAATGCAAGGATTATTTTCTCAAGCCTGATTTATACTGCGATCTGAAAATTGTACCAAATGCAGCAATAAAGAGGTGGGGCACTACAAATCACAGAGGTAGAATGACTTTGAACTTGCATTGGATTTTCTTCAGCTTTTAAACTTTTGAAGGGCTGTCTTAATAGCGTTAAAATACATTTGGTGCCTGCTAAAAGTCTTCTCCGGAGAGCTTTACAGGCCCTGGCGAATAGAATTTCACTTCCTTGTTGGGAGTAACTGAAAATGAACTGCACAAAAAAATATTGGATAATGAAATGTGAGTACAGTGATTTGACTTCTTAAAACTTGCCACCGTCTCAACAGGCTCAGCTATAAAACATGGAAGCAGTTTTGAAGATGATCTGTCCTTAGGTGCAGAAGGTGGGTATCTTTTGAAATCACGATTGTGTGGTAACATTTTAATCCCCTCTCTTTTGTTTCCTTCAAACAATCGTAATATTCTCTGGACTTCCTAAGAACAATAATGTTCCAATGAAGGGAAATGTATCATCTGTCCATACTCGGTATCACATTGTTGCCAAAACTCTTGAATCAGTAAATTGGGGCCGAGCCCAGAAATATCAATCACATTTAGGTTGACTTCCTGCCTTCAGTCTTAATTAAATAGCTGTAGTAGAGCAATGCAGATCTTAAGCTCATAGTTCCTGAAAAAAAAGTGGACTGTTTTATTGCATCATTAATATTGTCTTTTGGTCAGCCTGGCTCAGTGGGCAACACGTCTGCATCTGGCTACAATGTCTGCAGTGTTTTTAATATAAAAGGTGTTGCACACACACTTAAATCAGAAACAGGAATGCCTGAAGCGCCACTATAGTGCTAATTTGACAGAATTGGCAGGGGCAGACCTACTACAGCTTTGCACACGTCCATTTGTTTTAAACAGGTTAAACCACAACTTTTGTCTTCTGACTTTGCCCAATCTATGCTCGAAATAAACATGTGAGCCTTCCACACCAAGGGACCACTCGCTCGCTCGCTCCCTCCCTCGCCCACTCACATATCAGTTTAAAAGATGTGTGTGGGCAATGTCTGTATGGCCCGGACAATGCAAAAGTAATTGGTGGCAGTGCTTGCTTTGCTGCCTTTTAAAGGAGAACAAAACTATCACCGCTGCCTCCAGAGTGCAGCCATGTTTCTCTTGCGTTACTGGTGAAACCTGGGTTGTTGTTGAGGGCAGTGCTGCAAGGTTAACCGAGGAAGGTAGAAAGGCTTATTCATATCATCACACAACATCAGTGAGTTGCCATGTTGCTGCTAATATATTGGCCGGACACTGGTTGTTGCTACAGGGTATTTTCCTATGTACTTGCGTAGAAAAAATATCCTCTCCTGCTGATCTGGCCCGAGAAAATCAAGATGGAGAGAAAGTACACTGCTTCCAAAAAAAAAATAGGGAAACTATAAAAATGCCAGTGTTGCTAAACGGTAAACTGGCTTTTCTTGTCCAAGCTGTTGGCTTCAATTCCATTCAGTGGTATGTGCACATTTTAGCAATTAAACCCCGAAGCTGGCTCCCGGAATGCTGACTTTGTTGTCTGAAATCAGTTCAATGTTAGAGCAAAGCACATGATATTTTCATGCCATGAGCTAGGCGACATGCACTGACCAGCCTTATGAGGGAAAGCTACGCCCAGAGTCAGGTGATATTAGTTCAGTTTAACTGTATGTGAGATCAGACCCCTGCCTGCTGCTTTCAGGCAAGCATTCATACAGTATGTGGTTTGCGTTTGAAGATGAAAGAAACTTTGTGTAAGAATTTGGATTGATTTCAGTAGAGATATCAAAATCGTTTTAACAGCTGATGCAACATAAATCCATGAAAAATATTTCTATTTCGTCATAGATAGGGACTCTTTATCATTTAACCTTTCATTTTTTAATTGTTTTTCACTTGATGTCAGTCACGATTATTTTTGCTGCGACAACGGTATGAATTACAAGTATTATTTCCAAAAGCTTTTCGCTTCCAACATTCTGAAAGGTGACTTTCAGCAGTAAAACAACTGGATAGGAGACAAGGAGATACTGTTGAAAGCTTTAGTGGACCTTGCTATTGCGTCTCCTATTTATATACTTCATTGTGGGGAAGGGTTCTTCTGCTATCACACTTGATTCTTAGAATCAATCATACAACATTTGATAACCAATAGACCTGGTGGTGTATTCAGGGCTGGATTAACCCATAAACCAGATAAGCCATGTTTTAGGGCCACAGAGGTCTGAGGGGGCCCCATATATGATTGACACCTTTACCTCCCGCTCTGCCCCTCTCGTCGTTACTCTGCCTTGTGCCTTGTACAACCTGGTGAGAGGTGATTAACAGCAAGAGGGGCAGAGCTGGAGATACAAGTCATATTTCCAGTAGGTAAGACGAAGTATGAGACATCTTGGAGAGCAGGAGCCATGTCCAGCAGCAATAGAACTTATCTAAGTGGCGCTGCAAAAAGATTTTGATGCAGACAGTGTTAATGAATTTGAGCACTTTCTGGATTTCATATCACTTATTAAGTGTGAGGAAACTCCACGAGAAATGCTTAAGTATATGCAACAGAATCATTTCCAAATGTGGCAGTTTCACTTTGTGTGCTCTTAACATGACCAGATCAGGTCTGTGAAGGCCAACACTCCTTTTCAAAGATGAATCTCATCAGAAATTCAAATCAGATCTACAATGATCCAGAATAGATTGAATGCACTTGGAATCTTGTCTATTTAGCATGGCTTGACACTCACACTAAGTTTTGATCATGTAGTTGACATGAATGCAACATTGAAGTCATGCAAGAAAGTATTTTAATAAAGCTAATGTTGTGTATTTTGGGTGCATAGTTCAAAGAGCCCCCGAATGTGATCTGTTTTAGGGCTCCCCAAAATCTTAATCTGGGTGGGGTGAATAAGGACATGGGATGAGCGTCCAGTTAAAATTACTGTGCTCTTTATTGCACTTTTGCTAACAACTTTGCTGAATTCCTTTCTGTTTCAATCATCTTGCTTACTTGACATCTGTGACAAAATACGAAATGGAGCACAACTGGAGCTCGTGAATGTCTGTCTCAAAGCATGGCATGGAATATGTCAGTCTATGCTGCAAAATGTTCATTAGTTCAATGTTCATTAGTCTGCTGCAGAATCTAAGCTCTCGTCTCCTAAGAGCAAATGTTCAATCTGATATGCATAGCATTGGCTTTAACTTAATCCATGGTGCTTTGGAAGCATTATTCAAAGAGGTGTAGTCACATTTTTTAATCAATAAGCCCTGATGTGTGTGGAGTGTATTTTCGTCCACAAAGTACACAGCCAATCCGTTTTACAGTATATCCTGTGAAGCGCTTTGAGACGTCTCAACCATGTGATCATAGAATTATACAGCATTGAAGGAGGTTATTCGGCCCATCATGTCTTTTCCGGCTCTTTGAAAAGGGCTACCCAAATCAATCCCACTCCCCAGCCCCCCGTGCTCTCCCTTGTCCTCCCAAAATAATTATCTACTTCTCTTAAACGTTGTCATTGAATCGGCTTCCACCACCCTTTCAGGCAATGCATTCCAGATCAGAACAACTTGCTGTGTGAAAGGATTTCTCCTCACCTCCCCTCCGTTTCTTTTACCAACTAATTTAAATCCGTGTCCTCGGGTTACCGACCCACCCGCCAGTGGAAATAGTTTCTCCTTGTTCACCCTGTTGAATCCCCTCATAATTTTGAAAACCTCTATTGAGTCTCCTCTTAACCTTCTCTGCTCCAAGGAGAATAATCCCAGCTTCTCCAGCCTCTCCTGATAACTGAAGTCCCTTATTCCTGGTACCATCCTGGTAAATCTCTTTTGCACCCTCTCAAATGCCTTGACCTCCTTCCTAAAGTGTGGTGCCCAGAACTGAACCCAGTCTCCAGCTGAGGCCTAACCAGTGTTTTATAAGGGTTCATCATAACTTCCTGACATTTGCATTCTATGCCCCTATTTATAAAGCCTAGTATTCTGTATACTTTTTTTAACAGCTTTATCAACCTGTCCTGCCATCTTCAAAGATTTCCTTATATGAACCCCCAGGTCTCTCTGTTCCTTCGCCCCCTTTAAGATTCCACCATCAGCTTATATTGTCTCTCCTCATTCTTCCTCCCAAATTGCATCACTTCGCATTTCTCCACATTAAACTTCATCTGCCACATGTCTGCCCATTTTATCAGTCTGTCTATGTCCTCTTGCAGTCTGCTATTATCTTCCTCACTATTTACTGTTTTTCCTAGCTTAGTATCATTTCACTAACTTAGTATTATCCTAGCTTAGTATGATAAGGAACTATATCACATGTAAGGATTATTATTTTTATGATACAAGAAGGAAGTATCTGCTGACTTGGGTAAAATATGTGGTGAAAACGGGTGAAGGTTGCAAGTTATGAAAGTGCTGAAGGGACTTTTTGGAGGTGAACAGGGAAATATTTTTTTATTGTTGTGAAACCTGCAGAAGTGAATTTGGTGAGCATAATTCCACATAAAGGAAACTATGTCAGTTTCTTTATAAACTATGGCTTTCTTGTTTACTTTGAAATTTAGACAATCTGTATGATCAACTTTGCCCTCGCAAAGGTTGTCTTTACTTTGTGGTGCGTTGCCAGGATTTTCAAAATGTCAACAGAATGTGATAAAACCTGGAAAACTGAACACAATGCTAAACATCGCAGTTCAAATGTTAAGGTGGAGTTGAAGTTGGAAGTATAATAATATGTGAATTGTGTAGACACGAACTTCCGTATTTGTGGATATTTATCTATGCAGAGGTCCATTGTACTGCTGTCATTGATTAACATTGCTTAGGTAGTTTGATTAGTCACAGGTATATTTGCTAGTTACATTTTTATATGCAAGGTTATTTTTTTTTAGAAACCATATAATTTGTGTCTTGTACTTTCTGCCCACAGCTAATTACCTTCATTCCAACGGCGATTCAGCGGAGGCAGCAAAGTTAGTATCTCTTTTTTTAAAGTTGTTTTTCTCGCATTCAATTTCTGATATATCTTCCACAAATACTTGTAACCAATCACGTATGTTCTCCAGTTATGGGACATCGGCCAAAGAAAAGCGCAGGCAGTTTTGTGAAATGGGAAGGAGTATGAACTCTACTGGCTCAGGCAAAAGCAGCACAACTGTGTCAAGGTAAGCGATGTCAAATGAATTAGCCTTTATCTTACTAACTGAGAATTTTATGGCTAGTAATTTATTTCACTAACTTTATACTTGCATTCCTCTTTGGAGATTAAAATATAAATTTTGGACATCAGTAACTGTCTTTGTTTCAAGGAGCAACAGTGTTGATTTAAACGTGGTACGTTTGTTGTACGAGTAATATGTTTGCACTAGAATTTGAGTTTGCCATTGCAACAGTCTTCACGAAATTTTGTGTTTAAACAATACTTCTGCCGCTTCCAGTTTTCCAATGTTTGGACTCATTGTTGTTAATATTTCAGTGTTTCAGAGTTATTAGACCTTTATGAAGAGGACCCTGAAGAAGTGCTGTATAATCTGGGATTTGGAACTGATGAACCTGACCTCGCTTCTAAAATTCCACCCCGATTTTTCAGCGCAACATCATTTGCGAGAGGAATCGATTTCAAACTCTTTTTAGATACTCAAATGCAACGTTTGGAATTGGACAATCCGAATTTTGCTCTTACAAGTAAGGCTTTATCTTCTTATGTATGAACAAAATCAGGTCAATTTCACGACGTGATGTTGAACTATTCTTGGATTTAGTTGTATTTTCCTTTTATTATCAAAAAAAAGGAGTGAGAGACCAGGGTTCGAATTGACTCGGTTTGATAGATTTTCCATTGCTGATGGCTTTAAAAGTCCTATGTGAAGTAAATAGAGACAATTATGCTTTATAACAACTTCTGAACCGGTGTCAGTGTATCACTGCCTTGCAACAGAACCCAACCTATACATTACCCTAATGGATAGCAAACTGTTTCTTTAAATTTACAGGTCGGTTTCGGCAGATTAAGGTTCTCACCACTGTGGCAAATGTGTTCTCCTCTTTGTACTCTCATGTTTCCGGTAATCCTCTGCAACAAATTGGGGGTATGTGTGAAATACCACCTGGAAATCCGGTTCCTATCGTTCGAAATAGTGCAGCCAATAAATTAAAGAAGACTGTATCGAAACTCAGTTTACATGGAGCTCAGCAGATAAAATCAATAGAATCAAACAATCAAGAGACTCCGTCGGGAACAGGCAATGAAAAAACATCGGAGGATCCCGAAACTAACAATATCAGTACCGAGAACGATGAGAGGAAAGGTGAAATCAAACTGAAGAAAGAAGGAAGAAATCATAAGTGGCGTATCACAGCGGATCCTTTACTGAAACCAGTAAGTGAAGAAATATTGGGTGCCAACGACAAGCCTTTGAAAGACTCAGTTTCTGTCGGTGATAAATCCATGCAGAGTGACTCTCCTTTAGGTGAACGACAGCTTGGCGTCTCGGACGGTTCCTGTATTGATAAAAACTCAAGTACATCTACGGACGTGGAACAGACACGTGAAAGTGTGGAGATTGTCTCCACAGAACCGCATTGTTCGACCCCTGAAAAAGGGCCAGCTGTGCTGATTCAGCATCCGATGGTCAAAAACCTGATGGAACAGCAGAAGGAATTCTCGTTTGAGTTAGAAGAGGCAAGTTGCTGTTCTGCAGTTTTAAATAATCCTATATCTATTTTTATCAAAGCTTTCGTTCAACATTCTGTTAAAATACTGCACTATAACCCCGCAGCCCTTGGAATTGTACGTATTATTCTCCTTTTTGGATTCTTCCCCAGTCAATTCCCTCATTTAGATATTTGGGCACAGCTTGGTGCACAGCTGATAGGACAGTGGGGTGGGTATTGTGGAAGGATGAAATCCGATCACCTGAAGGGCCTTCTTCATCTGAATCAATCTTGGAATCATAGAATCTTACAGCACAGGAGGAGGCCATTCGGCCCATCGTGCCTGTGCTGTGCCTCTTTGAAAGAGCTATGCAACTAATCCCACCATCCCCCTCTTTAACCCATAGTCCTGCAAATTTTGCTCTTGTAAAAATAAGGGGGAATTGGATAATAATAATAATTCTTGCGTTTGATAGAACGCCGTATCACGTCTTTGAGACGTCAGAAAACCGTAAAATGAATTGACTGAATATATTTTGTAAGAAAGATGAAGAGCTGATGTGGGCTAATAAAATAGATGCAGTGGGACTATACTTTTCCTGTTAGGGGAGGGTGGGGGTGGTCAAGGAGTACTAAAGCAACTCCCATTTATTGGTCTTTTTATTGTTCTACGACTTTCTTTTGACTGGCGACCAATAGCACTTTGATTGCTGGCCAACTGAATGGGAGTAACCTGTTAGAGCTGTCAGTACAACTCTGAATGCAAATGGCACCATGTCATTCCTTTGAGTAATGTGTAGCCTCTGTCGCAATTGGTTCTTAAGCCTATGAATACAGGCTACCCCTACTTTGGTAAACACGTTTTGTGATTTTAGTAGGATAATGGGAGGCATTTGTGTATTTTAGGACTGGGTGGTAATCTCTGCTGCAGGTTGTTGCATCTTTACTTTTTTAAAAAAATGTTACCTTGGATTAAAATTAAAACTTTTAATTTACACTTGATTTATTCCCAAATTGGTTGCTTCCCTCCTTTTTTTTATTATGATCGACTCCCTTTGCTGATGTTACAAGTTGAACATAGAGAGCAAGTTTGTTGTTTAATTCAACTCATCAGTGTTGTGGTCCATGGCTAGAAGAAGGAAATAGATTTAACAACTGAACGTGTAAAGATTTTTGTCAAATGCAGTGCTAAATTAGGAACTTGTGTGGCCTAGTGTTTTGTCCAAATTGCAATCTACAGCAGATGACACTCAGTATCTTCTCTGGAAGGAGCTAGGAATCCCAGTCTATTTACAATTACAAAATTTGCTTCCATGGAGCTTAGAGACCTTAACGTGATCTAGAATTCCATGATACCCGTTCCTCTGCTCGATCTTCTCTGAGAGATTTTTTGGGGGAGGTTCAGCCGGGTGTCTGACACACGCAGAAACCCATCACCATGCTTAAGAGTACCCAAAACAGACTGAGAATTCCATGCATCCCACCTGCACATGAAAATTCCAGAGATAAATTGTTGGAATCCAATGCTCAATCTCCTCACTCCACAGAGAGATTGCACATTGCATTCTAGTTACCTAATTCTGGAAAGTATTAGGTGCAGGTTGGCGAGAGCCAAGGGACAGGGACCCCAGAGTGTGCAGTGGGGTATTGCTGAAGTCTAACCAGCTAAAACCACATAGCTTGCCATTATTAGCGCTGTCTGCTGGCAAGCTATCCTGCTGTTTGTCCAGCTAGGACCACCCTACCCATTAGGTTAACAAGAGTTGAGAGGGAGAACCAGACTCAGGAGTGGCACAGGAACTGGACTACCGAAACCACTACAGAGGGCTGACTCGATTTTGACATTCCATCGCCAAACATGTCATCTTGGAACAAGTTCAGCTCTAAAGAGGCCCCGCTTTACCTTCTTCTTTATAGTAACGATATCTGATGTATTCAATTTCCACTGTTAAACCTTTGATGTCCTCCCGATGTGAAAGATGCTATATCAAAAAATATTATTAATGTCATTGGACAGATGAAACATGAAAGTGGAAATATTAAGAATATGAAATATAAAGGTGGGCATTGATTTTTAACTGTGTTATAAATAAAATTTAGATTGCAAAAAAACAATTAATATTCACCAATTCCTAGGAGAGATTCATGGCCTATATTCACTGAAAATTGACCATAAAATTACAAGTTTAAATTTGGCAGATCATTTGCCTGTAAAATTCCTGTGATGCTTTTGCGTGGATCCAAATTCAGAACAGAATGTGCTTCCCAACATGTTTTGCCCCTGTTCTCTACCACATTTTATTGAAAGAATCTGCTTCAGTACATTGTCAGTGCTTTAATGATAGCTTAAAATTATATTTGAAATAGTGATGAATACTTAAATTGCTGAGTGTGAGTTGTGGAGTCGTGGTCCATGTGCATTTTATTTTTTTCTGGTGGAATCTAAATATATGTTTTAGATTTGGATTAAGATTCCTCAATTAGAAAAGCAATAAATGGGTAACTGGAATGTACCAATGATACAGAGACCAGTTGAGATCAACATCTGTCCTCTATTATAATAAAACGGTTGTTTTCTTTGACTTTGTAACACTGAATACTCATGTTTCGAAGCGCAAACCATTTGTGCCGTAAGTTAAGCATGTTTTATCTTTTCAAATAGGTTCAAAGCAATGAAGGAGAAGGGTTAAATACTGTAAACACAACAAGCAATCCTGGCCCATCCGATTCAGTGCTTGTGGTTTCAGGAACCAATAAAAGTAAGTAAAATATTATACAGTAAATCTCCGGCTTACCAAACTCTGGGCAGCTGGAATTGGGACCTAGCTGGACCAAAACATATATTTAAAAGTTTCCCAGGACCCGGGTGCATGTTAATTCCCACCGGCTCATTTCTGCTCTTGCACTGGGTAGCCTCATCATGCTTGCTTGGTTTAACAGGGATATCGATTTTGACTCCGATTTATGACTTTGACTTATTCGCTATCTTCTGCTCCCAGAATTCAGACAATTATAATGCCGGTAACGATATTTGCTGTTACTTTTTACAAAAACAAATCCATTGGTCTGGCCAGGCAGGGTTTAAGTGTGTACATAAAACACGTAAAACCTGACACCGTTCTTTCCAGGTGTTCGGTGTAATAAAATGAACAAACCATCATTTTGTTAAGTTTTAAATGGGTCTTTGGCTTTGACATTAGACTTGGAGGATTCTTCCAAAGCTGTGATAAAGTCTATGACTGCAGACAGGATGAGCACATGGTGTAAACTTGGCAGCTACATTCAAATCTTGTGAATGTTTACCCTTCTAATGTAAATCCCACCTTACACATGTTTTTGGTGGGGGCTTCTGAAATGAATGCATTTCAAAGTGTATTCAACACTTGGATTTTATAATCCTCTACCTTTGCTCAATAAGAAATATTTACATGAGCATGTCTTGTGGCTCCTTTTCACACAATGGAACTACTAATGACTGTAAAGTAATAGTTTACTCCGTTTGTGGGTTTTATTAGATATCTGTAAAAGTTACCAAAAGTTATTTACTTGAAAAGCCAGTTTTACTGCAGTCATGTCTGACTCTTTCTTTTTTCTCGCACTAGTACAGTGTGATCTCTGATCTCTATGGTTTACTGGGTGTGAACTGGAGTAAACAGTGGGAAACCACTTCAAGGGAAGCAGTTTGGCACCAGGTGTATTACAAGGGCAACTGGTATTAAGAGAAAAAGAACTTAGAAAATAATGTTTTTAAAAAGTTCTGAGATTGCCCTGAACCCTTGTCATTTTAATGTCGATGATGAAAGAGCTGCCACCTCTTTGCTCATGTCAAAACATTACCTGGCTGTCAAGCCTCAGCAGTCAGTACAGTGCTCTGATACAGTGCTTAGTAGAGCATGATGTGCAGGCTTTGATACAGGTACTGGGTCTGAGATGGTTGCTGAATTGTAGGTACCTATGTACGGTATCTGTGTAATTGGGTTTTATTTGGATTAAACAATTTTGATGTACGCAGCATAATCCAATTTTGATGATAGGATATGGAATGATTTGCCAGGGCTGGCTTTTAGAGCAAAGTCACTTGCAAGTGCATGTTTCTATGGTTCTAATTTATTACCTCTTGCTTAAGGGATAATTGTGATCTAAGCCTAAAATAGCATTCCGTACTTAACCGTGTCCGAGTTCAATTTGATGGATCGCTTTTTTTTCATTTTAAACGTTTCAATTTACAGAGCAACAAGCTAGGTAAATAAGTTTTTGTTGAACTCTTATTTCATCGGAAGGTTTTAAATGTACCAGGAAAAATGGAATTGTATTAACTCTCTTAATTGCCCTCTTGGCCTGACGCGAGAGAGATTATTGCATTTAACAAGCTTGAACAATTCACAGTTAATCTGAAGAGTGACGTCAAACTTCAGTTTGCCTTAACCCAATAGTGACCTAATCTGAGTAAGCCATCTTGATCTCTGCACGCAACATTTCCCCCACCCCCCCCCTCCCCCCCCACCAACCCCACTCCATCCCACACCCCTTTACAGAGAGTTTAAAAAATGTAGAACTGTATGGAATAGTTCATTGTCATTCAACAAGGTTCAGGTTTTCAGAACCAAGTCTAAAGCTTTGGCTGCCCATGAATTTGATGGTGCTTTGTATAACATCCTGATTGTTATATGAGTACAGAAGAAACTGTCTTCCTTGTTCTGGATTAAACCCATGTGCTTTGACTTGGGAAGAAAAAGTTTTTAAGGCTGTGATTTTCATTCTGGAACATTTTGGAGAATGAATGATGCGTCCAGGAAATTCTACAACTTTGCCCATTCACACTGATGGTTTACTTCTAAGCGGCATCCAACTGTTTTCAGGACTAATGATTAAAAGCCCGGCTAAATTAATATCAGCAAGAAAAAATTGATCACTAAGTTGATGCGTTACAACTGAATGCTGAAGTGTTTTTTTTTAAAAAAGCAGTGAGCAAAACGCTTCACAATTCTCAATGAAAAGTAGCAATACAAGATTGTGAATATCACGGTTTCATCCCCATTGTGTAACAACTGTACCACTCACTCTGTACCAAATACTAATAATAATCCTTGCATTTGATATAGCGCCTTATCACGTCTTCGATACGTCTCAAAGCGCTTCACAGAACATACTCTAAAGTCAATTGACTGTATATTTTATATTGTACATATGTTATAAATGCTACTGGTTTTAAAGCCCTTAGAACAAATGATCAGGAAGGAGTTGCATATTTGCGATTCTAGGCTGAAAGTCGAGACATTTGCATTGCTATAGAGTTGACAGCATAATGCAAATCTCCAATTAGATTTAATCCAGGAACACTCAGACTTTCCATGGGTCGGATGACTCTACATACCTCAGTGTATTAACTGACTAAACAGCCCACAAGAAGGAGCTCTTAAGAGGTTCTGTTCATTCAGGGTACCCCTCCCAAAAGCTGCGTCCGGGATTCTAATCTCCAACAATGAGTGCAGTCGTAAAAATATTTGTAAAGCGCACAAAGATCTTTATCTGGGGTCAGGCTTAGTCTATTGTGAAGGGTTTGGGCCTGTTCGAGTAGCCTGTTGGCATTGTCTGTCCAGGTTCAGATGTAAAGAATGACTACTTGGGTAGGGCCACTGAGTGTGATGTCCCATTGTGAGTCTGTGCCGTAAGGGAAGGAGGGAGGGAGGGGTAAAATGATTTTTTTGTAACAATATTTTCTTGAATAAATCAGCACGATACCAGCTAGAAAGTTTTAAAAAGTTCTTTGGCAGACTGTTAGGCACGCACGGAGCTCTCGTAAGCTCCCGGTGAAGGCATTTGAGGCAGATGTGCATTAAAACAAATTCCTGCTCAGACTTGCTATGACGGAGGAAGTTTTAGGATTTGCCACCTTATGAGGCAGAGTCAAATTCAGGATCCTCAGCGCTGCTTTGAAACTTTCAGTCGTAATGTGTCTGCTTGACTCCACTTTGTCTGAGCTAAAGAATCATCCGTGTGAAATAAATATTTAGGGCATTATTACCAATGTTAGTATTTCCTGTCATTGAAGCTCATGTTTTGGACCATTTGCCACTGCCACAATGTACATGCTAACCTTCATCTTGGCTGCCCTGTTAGGTCTTGAGAAGATCTCTCGCTCTCTTGGCTGTAACACGCAAGCATGTTTCTGTATCCGTCTCTCAGAATGACATGAATACGACTCCTGTGCAATGAACTTCGATACAGAATTAAAACTGGCACGAACTTAAGTTGTTAATAAACAAGGCTTCTGTTTTAATAATATAATAACAATACATACAATACAATTACATTTGATACAGCACTTGATCACGTCTTCCAGATCTCTTAAAGCGCTTCACAGAACATACAGTAAAGTGTAGTAACCGTGCGTTTTGTGGGTGAAACGCAGCAGCCAAATGCGAACAGAGTTTTCGGTCTTGAGAGTGAGTAGGAGGAGGAAATGTCAGGAACACCTTTTACTGTCATTTCATTGCTGAATTTACCCTTTATCATTCAAGTTAGATCGGATAATTGTTAAAATTAGATTGAAATTAGATTCTTGAGCTAATGCAGAGCTGAAACCTGAAGCATGTAAATGGAATAAATTAAAAGAGCAAAACTGGAGCGTTTTATAATGGTAATGTGAGCCCATGGATTTAATTCATTGCCTTGAAATCGGTCCCCAGTCTTGCTTCATTTTTTTTACTGTTGGAGGGGTGAATGAAGGAGATATAAACATTTGCTCTTTCGCCTCCAAGGCATCCAGATGAGAAGCAATGGGATAGAATTCCTCCACTCTGCGAATGGAAACTTAAGTGAAATAAATGGAGGTAGTTTGAGTTTCTATTGAATGTAAAACTACCCACAATTTGGCATTAAATCTGCAATATTCTGTATAAACCACGAGCTTAGCTTGTTTGATTAATGGGAACTGCATAGGCCTACAGTTGAGATATCCTTCTGAGGCTCGGGCCCCGGTATATCTTCAGAGCATTATAGGAGAAGATGTACCCTGTATCTAACTTGCGTTTATGAGAAGAGGCAGAGACATTCCCAACCTTGGACCAGGAGAAAATCATTGAGCAAGACTGAGAAATAAAGATTCCATTGCAGTCACCGCACGTAGATGTGGGTTTTGCTCCCATTTGTGCCAGGAACACTTCCAGTGCAAAGGTGGAAAGGTCTTATGCAAAGGTAGTCATGTTTTTTGTCATGCTTTTCAACGCCTTGGGACGTCCTCCTGACGTGAAAGGCACTACACAAATGTAATTTGTTGTTGTTGTCGTCGTTTGAATTTGAAGGTGCATCAAGAATAATCTGCTGATAATTACCAGCACGTTTTCTGCCCCCTGTAGCCTGGAAATAATTTGATGAGCCTGAAGGTTCTTTGTTACAAGTTGTCCTATATAACCTGATAGCATCAGCTCAGATAGTTTGGGTCGTTTCTTCCAGCATTTAAGTATACGACATCCAAGGCAATGTCCCAGGGCAATTCAAGCCATATTCATACACATTGCTGTCATTGTGTGAAGATTGTTTTAAAGCTTCGGGATTTACGTAAGCAATATTGATATATTAAAATGTAAAATACTACATGCAAATTATGTCTACATGACGAACTTTGGTACTGAGCTCCCTTTTTGTCTACTTCCTGTTGAATCAGTTTATTTTTGGCCCGATATGCAACCTAGTTCCCCAAGTTATAATCTCTCAATCTTCCCAGCTTTAGAGTTCTGTTTTGGGTTAGTCTGGGTTCAGCACAAGCTAGATCTCTGTACCCTGTGCGTCTTTCTTTTCATGATCTAATTATTCATTGTGCTTACCTTCCACAAATACTGTAGCATCACGTTCAAACATCAGCACTCTTGTTAGGGCAATTTAACGTTAGTGAGAAAGCAATGGATAATTAACACAAAGAAATGTTTACCGAAATGTCAACCTTTGCAGTATTCTGGTTGTGGGGTAACCTGATTTTATGCATCTTAAATGTAAGTAAAATGGCAAAGGTTAATAACATATCTGGTCTTTTCTTACACTGCTTTAGCCTTGCTGATGCTGCCACCAACAGATGGAAATACAAAACTGCATTTAATTATCGTTTGGAGCTGAGGTCAAATAACAGAGAAAATCCTGCTTTTATTTATTAGAAGACAACAGATCTCGCCATCCTTGATTTTTCTTTGAACTGTTCAATAAGGATCTTGTATGCTAATACAATCTGTTCATTTAATTTTACTAAAGTTTCAGATTACGTTTTAGATCAAATATACACAAAGTCATTTTATTTTTTGATGCAAGCATTTTTAAAAGGGACATTTAAAAAAAAAGTAGGTTTACCATTTTCTAGTATTTGTTAGGGATTGTAATGAATCTCAATACTGTAAAAACTGTAGTCCTGTAACACTTAGACACGTGTAAAGGACGAGCACATGTGCTCCCGTTCCAGAAATAAATTATTGGTAGAACTCCAAAACTGAGTCATTTAGCCTTGAAGACTTTCACAGGACAGACATATAAAAATATACTGTTTCCTGTGGGGGCAGTGGCAAGGGTCCAGTGTATTCAGAATAACAGATTTTCAATCTTTTTTGAATATAATAATTTAAGTTGTTGAATCCACAACGACTTAGAAGACCCAACCCTCAGTATGTAGATTTGAACACATTATCCTGTTTCTTATTATCCTTGAAAAGTGTCTTATCACAGCTGGAAAAACAGGAGACTTATTTAGTGGCTCATAAACCATTCAGACGTTGTAAACTCTATTCCCTCTGAGAGCAAATCACTATGTGGTCTTTTTTTTAATATATATTCAGTTCCACTGAAGACGAGATAATGTTACAAGAACATTCAAATAAATGAATATTATTTCAAGTTAAAACAAAAGCAATCCTTGCATTTGATACAGCGCCGTATCAATTCGCTATATTACATTTATCGCGTCTCCTGTTAAGTATCACTGTTAAAGTATACTTAGCAGGAGACACTATAAATGTAGTGATTGTGTATTTTTTTGGAGACAAATTTAGTGTGGGCAGCACAGGCAGATTCTTGCAGGATCAAGCTCAAGGGAGCGCATGGTGTATTTGCATTCTTTTTCAACAAAGGATAAAGGTTAACCAAATCACTCTAATTTAACTGAGTACTTGCCACTCACCAGTTTTTAATTGTGAATAGGAATTGCTGATTCCTATTCACAATTGCGTATCCATTGACGCAAGAGCCGTTGGTTAAGTGTGTTTGGAGTGTTCTGCTGTAAGAGGTTTCTTTGATGCAAAAAAAATCTCTTAACAGATGGGGCCAGCACTCACAGCACAATTCGTTTTGTCTAAGATGCAAAGCAAACTTTGTAGTTGTGAGGTTCATTTTGATTTTGCAACCTGGTTGATAATTGATAGGCCACGGAGCATTCTTCTGTCGTATCGCAGTGCTAAATCGATGACAGCAGTTTGTACTTTGATAGCTTTGAGATTCACTGGGATCGTATCCAACTCGGATCACTCTATTTACCCAACGTTATACTTATTTCATCCAAAAAACAATATAATTCCTGTTTGAGCTATTCAATCGCTAATCAATTCATAATAATCTGGTTGCAGGGGTTTCATTGGGACATAATGCTGCAGTACAAATACGTGTGGCGCAATTGATTCCACTTAAAATAGCTTAAAATAGACCCTTGATTACCAGATGTTCTTGATTAGCTGAATGATACTTGTCAGGTACTACATCTGCTTTGTGAAATGGTCTGCGCCGCTCTCTCTCTATCTCTTTCACTTACCTTGTGGTTTTACTGGTGGTGTTATAACATAAGCACAAAAGTAATGAGCGCAAATGTACTTTTCAGGACATTTTACAAGAACTGCCAGTTCACATTCAGATAGCAGTGGCTTCGCAGAAGATCCATCCACTGATATGCTTAGCCATTATCAGGTAAATTTATTTTCTTAAAAACATATACTTTCATAGCTGTAGTTGAAATGCGTGGAATTTGGTTTGAGTTACTTCAGTGGTATGTGGAACCAATTGAACTGCACAACATTAATAGATAAATCTTATACAGATAACAAAAGGCCACAAGCTGAGTAACGGTATGAATTCATTGATTCTGCTCCCCGGAAATGGACAAGGTTAATTACCAATAGCCTTTAGATGGTTTTTAGCTGTGTATATTGGAAGATTTTTTTTTCCATCAGCACGCAGTTTTGGAATACGTTGCTCAAAAACATTTTTATTTCTTGTATTACTTTTGGGTTGGGAAAACAATGAACTAGCCTGACCTATAGGGCGTGAGCGAAGCAAACTTGCACCAGAACATCACTGTAAGTGATGGAAAGAAACCCTTTGAGCTCTCGCTGTAAGGAGAGACAAAGTTATCCAGATAAACCAAGATGTCCAAAACAAACAAATGGACTTACAAATTTAGAGGACAAATATCACTTGGCTAGATATGGACTGGCTTTAAAAGCTCTTCTGTATCTCCACATATATGATTGGTTTGGTGTCATTTTTACTTAACTATTTAGGAAGGTGTGAAGTACCTCCTCCTCCTCACATTTTTATTAATAACTCAAAACGTAAGAAAGAGAATATGAGCGGGGAATATTCATTTGGCTGCAGCATCTATTACCCATCTTGAAAGTGCCATTGGTAGAGACCTAGAAGCAGGTGGTATGTTTCCCTCCCTGGCTAGGAAGAGTGAATAGCATTTGGGTGAGGAGCAATCTGCAAAGGTTATCTCCTTTAATTAAATTGCTGAGTTAGCTGAACTTTGACGGGAGCAATCAGATTTCTAATGCATGGCTTGTTGACTTTCAAAGTATCTTCGATAAGTCTGTTCTGTCAGCAATTAAAAGGTATTCGCTGGAATACTGATGACCTCTTAGGTGACTGAGACCCATGTTGTAAATCATCCATTTTAGTAATTTTAAAAGCTGAAGCAATTCTATGATTAGAAAAATTGTCAGCATTGATTTAAAATAAAATGGCCAGCTGTATTCCCTACTGTATTCCTTGTAGTTTATGTTGATGTGAGTCTGGCATCTTGTTCAGATAGTGGAGCTCACTTCATTTTCATTTTACTTACACCAATTATCCTATTCCCAGACTCGCTTGACCTTTTAGTTAAATAGCATTCCTATCGTTTTTCCACACAAGCTTCATATAACTCCGTATTTCACCGCCGTTGACTTTGATTTAAGGTGAATTATATAGAAAGCATTTTAAGAACCTTAAACTATTTTCTCCTCTGTGTTCTCTCTGTTAGGGTCAGGATGCCTCCCTCCAAGCCATGGGCAGTAGTGCCGACAGCTGTGATAGTGAAACCACAGTCACATCTTTCGTCGATGACATTAAAACTCCGCTGAGTTGTGACCAGTCATTTTTCACCCCTTCTCAAACACCAATGGACAATGTGCCCATGGATTTATTTGAAGGTGACATATGTGCTCCTGGTTTGACTGATTCCAACGAACAAGGAGAGTTGGAGAGTGACTCTGCTCCCGATGTTTTTTTGCAACCAGGGGAACAAGGGTTTTGGGTGATGATGATCAGAAATGTTCGTTGCAGATTGAAGCGACTCAAAACTCCGAGAGTGATGGGAACTCTCCAAGTGAAGAGGACCTTCCTGCGTGTTCTGTGTATCAGTTGGGGAAACAAAAACAGTACAGTGTGGAGTCGGGTCTGAGTTGGAATTCAGAACGTGAAAGTTTAAGTTCTGACACTTCTACCGAAAAGTCGAATGTTTCCTCTCCACCTGCAAACAGAGTTACTACAGCACTTGAGAGACCTGAACCGAAGCAGAGCATATCTGCCTCAGATATGCCCAGCTTAAGAGAAGGGCGCCCAGTGGCGAAAGCAAGCCACGGGACAATACAAGCAAGGGAGAAGCTGTACAAAAGAGACCCTCTGGCAAAGATGAAGCGAAACCCTTTTCAGAGGTCCAGTTCACTCCCAACCACTCTGCTTAGTCCGGTCAGAGTTGTATCCTCTTTAAATATTCACTTATCGCCAGATAGTGATTCTCAATGTGATGCACCCTCCTTTACTTACAAATACAGTCCCTTGGAGGAAGATTCGGAGGCCACTAATAGCCAGGATGAGAAGACCACCAAAGATGAACCCGTGCAGTTGTCGTGTCGGTCAACGCTTTTTATCCCATCTTCACGTGCGAAAAAAGAGAGGAGTACGAGGCAGGTGACTTTAAACCAAGGCACGGATGAAACGTCCCACTGCAGATTGAGCTCGCAGACCTTTCCGATGGCATCACATTTATCGCAGTCTTCCTGTTCCCTTCACTCAATTGCTTCAGATTGGCAAGACCGACCTCTCTGTGAGCACATGAGGGCCTGGAGTACGTGCAGTGTTCCCAACCTTATGGAATCACCTCACAGGCCGTTTGCATCACAAACTCACGGGGCGTTTGCATCACAAACTCACGGGGCGTTTGCATCACAAACTCATGGGGCATTTGCATCACCTTTTGCACATCTGTATCCTCCGAGGCCTGTGGCCCACAACTATCGGCACTTCCCAGTGAATCCTCCATCAGTCATTGAAACTCAGCTACGCAGAGTCCTGTATGATATAAGAGGCACGTTGCAGAACCTCTCTCAGGTATTTGAACAAACAGTATCAATACTCTATTTTGTTCCTTACAAACTGGGAAATGAAAATGGCTGCACCTTATGATTGTGTTGCGAAATATTCCTTTATACGTGTCTTGAGGCCACACGTGATTGTTCTAAGATAGTTTGGGGTCAGTGCGAAGGATATTTCAACTCTTGTTAAAGTTTTTTTCCCCAAATCTTTAAGTATATATCAATGTCTTTGAAATTATAAAGAGCAAACTCTCTTTGACTCTTGTTCTGGAACACTGCCTTGCCTGAGGGGCGCTATATAAATGCAAGTTGTTGCTGTTATTGTTGCTTTGTTTTCCGTTACAATCAAGCCGTTGTTTGCATTTGCAGATTCCAATGCTTCGGGGAAATGGTCAATTGCCTGCCCACTGTGCTTCTTTGAGATCAAATCTCATCCCTTTATATGAAGTAAGTTGTTTTGTTTTGCCACATTACTTGGTTTGGATGAAGAATATTTCTCAAGTGTTAACTAATTGTTACTGCAGATGTTATGATCAGCCTTTGAAAATGCTGAAAGAATAATCTTTCAAAACCAATTTCTTCTCAGGCCACATTTCAGGAGCTACAAGTCATGAGAAGGAATCTGAACTATTTTAGGACACAGATGATGGATTTGGAACTTGTTATGTTGAGGCAACAAACCATGGTTTACCAGCACTTGACTGAAGAGGAGAGGTGAGATTCCACCGGAATGATTTGTTTTCAATCTCTTTTCTCACTGTACAATTTGAATGTATCGGCAGCCCTATTCTGATGTGTTATTTCACGTGCTCCAATTGGAAGTTTTCAATACAAGCGTTAGTGTAAGTAAAGTATGAGTAGAGTAAGTAAAACCAACCAAAGCAAATTAAAATTGGTTAGTAAATGTGTAAAATCGTATATCAACTGAGAGTGCTACCAGTGGCTCAGAAGTCAGCCTCTGAGCCAGAAGGTAGTGAGTTCATATCCCACATCAGGAAATGAATCTATATCGTCTAACCTGACATCCCAATCGAGTGCTGAGGGTATGTTGCATTGTCGGAGGTTCTGTCCTTCGGATGATACGTTGAACCAAAGTTCTGTCTGCCTGTTCAGGTGGATGTTATTAAAGATCACATGGAACTTCGAGTTTGCTGTTAAGGTGGGATGATTTTATATCCTGATTGTATCAAAACTAGAGTTGCGTTTAATAGCTCATTAGTAAGCCAACAATTAGTTTGCATGAAGTCGTCGATCTGGATTTCAAACCACAATTTTCTCTTTTTGCTTTTTATTTCCTGTTGTGTAATGATTGTGGTGAAATCTCGGTTAAGCAGCATTTGCGAAGAGGAAATAAAAAGTAGCGCTTTTTCTTCCTCGCAGGCAAGAGGCTGACCAGCTGCAGAATCTTCGAAACTATGTGCGGATGGAGCTGCAAGAGTTAGAAGTGCAGTTAGAGGAGAGATCGTACTCCCTGGAGGAACAGCTCAGAACCCCACAACAGTTTTCCCAATTCCGACCGCAGCCACATACTGTGAGTACATTAAGCCAGCGTGATCCTTCGTCTCCTGCTTCAAATCACCCTATTTAGAGCAAAGGATTTCCCTTTTTTTCCATTTGTTCTGCGCACTTTCTAATTATATTAATCGATGGAACTCATGCACCCACCGACAACTCCTTACCCTATTCAGTTGTGTCAAAATCCACACCACGAAAGCACCTGAGGTTTCACCTTACGGCAACTTTAGTCCCACTGCATTAACCTTTATTGAGGGCCATAATCTCAAGCAGAATCTTGTTCGAGTGCTGCTGGTAGGAAATCTTGCTCCCCGCAGTGAAAGGAAAAGAGTGTGTGTTTGAGTTTCCCTCACATGGTGAGCTCTGATATTCATTCCACTGTGATCAATCATTCCACTGGAGGCGTTTTGCCCAGTAAGTGCCAAGCACTTACCCTCAGGAAGGTGTGTATGTGTGTGTGTAGTGTGTTTGTGTGTGTGTGTGTGTATGTGTGTGTTGGCAGAACAATAGCATCTATGGTTTTATTCAAACTGAAGGTCCTTTCATTGTAATAGAGCAGATTCAATATGTTCTTAATCTGGACCAAAAATGAAAGGAGGAAGAGTTTACTGAGGGCTGTAATTGTAGAGTTGCTGATCGTATATGAACTCCACGACATTATCAGTAAATTTGCACTAAATGCATGAGGAGGTACACAAAGACGGTCAAAGCAAAATAAGTAAGTGTTTATTCGGTTTTTCAGGGGATGTTCGCTGGTAGCATGGACGGCATGTCTTCTGCTTCTCTAGATGTAATGGAACCGGTAAGTTAGACTTTCGTCTACAGCACACTCTGCAATAGGCAGAAAACCACCCATCGTGATATATCTAAGTGTTGAGACTGATGAAGCTAATATACAATTGTTTTTACAATGTAAAATTCAGCTGATGAACATTTCACGCTTTATTACAGTTTCAGCAAAAAAAATATTCTGACAATGCCCCATCCTTTTGAACACGGCAAGCTTAGTCTCCATTCTGATAAAAGAGATCAATGTGGAACCATTCTCCATTTATACCAGTTATCGTTGTAGCCTCCAACAATTCACTCAGCGATTATCTGAAAAATATTTAAAATATGTGATGAAAAATAGTATTATTTTAATTCTGGCAAAATCATCATGTTTTGCCACTTTAGGTGCATCAGTGTTCTGTATTATGCTAATTATTTATCTCACTGACAAGGCTGCTGGGCAACCACTTGCAAAATGGCAAATTGTCTCACTGGGACAATTTGGCTAAAGTAAATGTCAGTTTTCCAGGAACCAGATTAAATCTACTTGCTACGAATGGAAAAAATGGCATTCTGGTTTGTTTACTTAAAGCTGATATTTGGTCATTTGATTTGATGTCAAAAGACATCTTTTATGTCAAAAGATGCGTTGACTAATTTTGGACTGGTCTTGGACTGATTTGACTTTCTTAACAGCCAGAGGTTAACCACATATATGTTTGTTGACTTTGGTTATTGAACCCTTTCCACTATTTTGCCAATACCGTACAATGCAAGTAGATATTCTTTTGTTTACAAGGTTTTAATGGCTAGTTACTGATATATTTATATTGCATCGCCCCGCATTCAATCATGCAGATAAAGTTGAATAAACACTGCATAGTGTGTGTGAAGTTTTTTTTTGTATCTTCTGAAAGATAAATCTTCTATTTGTAAACTCGTGTGAGTGCACTGTATTTATTTCACGCTTCACTTTCTGTTTAAATCCCAGGTAACTGAGCTTCTGCGAGAACAATCCTCTCTTCGGTCTGAGCTGGGATTCTCTGAGCCCTCGAGGGAGAGTTTTGAATACACACAGTCCTGTCCACCTTACACTAACCTAGAAGCTTTGTCACGCTGCTCGAGCCCAGGTCGAATGTCTAGATTTTCATCACCAAGCACTTTGAGTCTCAGTCAGCAACCTGTGCTGAACACTACTGAACGATCTGGAAAGGCAACAAACCCAACTACCTCATCAACACGAAACAAACAAGTGTACCGTTCGTCAGTCATGCTGACTCCCGCAACGCCAGCTCGGGGAGAAGGCAGCATTTCACCAGAAACTATATCGTCTAGAACAGTAAATCAAAAGTCGGAACCGCCAAGAGCATCTCCATTCCCTGGGGCCATCGGCAAGAGTATCGTGGAACATCCAGAATTCCAGAATGTTCTGCAAGAGGTGAGCGGTGACAATCCCAACAACAACTTGCATTTATATAGCGCCCTTCACGTGGGTGGCGTCTCAAAGCTCTTAAATACATTGAACTATTCAGATGTTTTAGCTCGGCACACGGCTTAAGATTCTTTGAGTCGGTTATTTCCTTTGATGCAGCAGTAGTGTACGTTAGCACAGATTTATTGATTTATCTCATAATACAAGACAATTTTCACACACTCACTGTATTGTGTGTGGAAAAAGAAGGTCTGAAGGACAATTGAGAAAGGAAACACTTATTGACTCCCACGTCATCCCCAGTGCTTTTTCACGCAAAGGTTTGAATATCTCACATTAGGATTCATCTTGTCTTTTCCGCATTGAAAGGTCAGAAGCTTAAATGTGTGCAGGCGGTAATGTCAGCATTTACCAAATGCTAATAATGCGCAAAGAACATTGGGCTGCTTGCAGAATGCTCCCACGTTAACATTTCAAAATCACACAACAGCTGACACAAATTAAATGAAAATCACTCAGCAAATGAAAACGCCTGCCCTGCCCACAGAGAAAGCCACTGCCGCTGACTCATTCACTTTTACTCGCAATAAATGCTGTAATAAACAGTTGATGCTGAGTTACGTTTGGAGGCAACCTAAGACTAAATGTGGATGCGCGACCTACCTTTTCAAGAAGATAGGGCCTCGCAAAACTGATTCATCTAGTGAAATGAAACAGTGCTTGCTTTTGAGAATGTCTTGGTTACGATGTGTTTTCAGAGCAGTCGCTGCTGAACACAACTGAACCCAGTGAACTTTTATAACATTAAACATTGGCTTCTGGTAAACTGTGCTGGTTCAACGTGATACAAAGCGCATTCTACTTAAATCTTCACTACTTCAGGGGATATTGTGTTTTGTCTTCTTCCATTTTGATTAAAATCACTGATTATCATCCTAACCACATGTAATCTCTTTCCACCTTCACATCCCAAACCATCAGCAAGGATCACTCCACTCACTGTGCAAAGGGCCTTACCTAACACACTCTAGACACAAACTTGTCAATTATTTCATTGAGTGTGATTTTTTTAAAAAAAGAGGCTGAAATATTAACTCTGATCCTTTGCGTTAAGGGCCAGGCATTGTGCCACTAGGACTACCGTGGTTTCTGTATTTTACGAACTAATGACTTAATTGAGGTTAAATTTCATTTCAAATCTCCTTTGTTTCTGAATCAAGTTACAGGCATTTGTACATAAACATAGCTTTTTCATTCATGATGCATGAGCAGTTCAGGTTTTAATTCAACTGTGGGCTGCGCTGTTTGGAGCAGGAGCATTGGGATGGACAGCCAAATTAGTAGTGGACATCCTAGCAACAGGCAATTGATAGAGACTAGCAATCAGTTTGCTCTTGTTTCTCTCTACAGAAGGAGCTTAGCCTTGTGGTGGCAATGTATCATGTACAGGGAGTAAAGCCGAGGGGATTTCATTCCTCGAGAGACAAAAAGTTAACGTAATGTAGAATTCAGGAATTTGAGGGAAGGAAAGTAACATTAGACTGAAAGAAATGTTTTCCCACCAGATAAAAGATTCAATTGTTGGAGAAATAAAGCGTGAAATTGTGGATCAACTCCTTGCTGCAGTGTCATCTGGCAGGACTGCTGTGGGTGAACAGGAAGAGTCCTCGTAGCTCCAGTGAGTACACCGTGTTATTTCAAGCCTTTAATGCTGATAGAAATGGAAAGTCTGGTTAATGTTTGCCTTTTGTTTTCCAATGTCTGGCTTCCCTCCATTGTTTGAAGTCCTGCAAAATTAGCGAGGATGTGCAAAAATAGTTTTATCAAGTTCCTTCCTCTCTGTCCTAGTCCCAGATTCTTCGGTTGCTATGGTTTAGCTGGCAGTTTTCTTGAGACCCACAACTCCTCCTCTGTTTTGATCATAAAGAGAAGGGAGTTTTCTCCCAAGTGCCGTGACAAATAGTCCTCCAGATGTATTAGTCATTCACCTTATGGATTCCTGTGAGCCTTCCTGGTTCAAATGGCTATCATGTTTGCCCAGACAAAACCAGTCACTACACGTGAGCATCATTAATAATAATAATAATAATAATCCTTGCATTTGGTATAGCACCTTATCAACTAGCGCCTTTGATGAGACATCATCAAATTGAAGACATTTTGGCATCGTGTCCTGCCGTAGAAATTTAAGGTGTTTCTTCCTTGTAGAATGTTGTGAATTATTAACCCGGACAAGCTGAATTTTTTTGCTGCTTCTCTCTCCGGTTCTGACTGATGACCACTAAAATGTATGCAGATTATTCCAAAATGGATGTCAGCCTTTTCAATGAAATTTGAATTAACCCCAGAGTGTAGTTGCCAATTATACTTATGAATTTTGCAAATCTGCAGCCATGGTATTTAATGAATGTAATTTGTTCCTATCTTTGAGACCTAAATGGAATCTGCATATTAACAATGTCCTCAAATTTACCATTCTTTTATTTGTAGTGGCTGCTTGGTGGCTAATCATGTGAATTCAACATTTATTATATCTATCGGCAGACAGCATTACTCCTGAGGTATACAGTCACAAGTGAGTTATGTGTTAACTCAACAGAGGAAATATCTTATTACCTGTTCAGCTGCCCAGCCATCTCTTTTTGACACGAGTGATTTGTAAACATTGGTTTACAAAAGCTCTTTGTTTTGTTGCTGCTATTTGTGAGCATTGAGCTTCCTGTTTTAGCGATGTTCGGATTGTTAGCTCTGTCTCAAGCCACTTGGGAACCATAACCCCCCAACATTGTTCCATTCTCTAACACTTTGCCATCCTCAAAGTTTGTGCAACATTATCTAAGATAGTACTAGGTTTTACAAACTGTAATAAGATTTCCTGATGTATGACTGCTTAGTTACATGTTACATAATTGTTACAAAACCATAACACTAAAATACGGCACAAATCTCATTTTTCTTCAAGACTGTCAGCTGCCCCAAATAGTAACACAATATGATTTTTGTTCTTTCTTTGCTTTCAGAATTCTCGAGAATGATGTTCTCAGTTCTGACGTGCTTTCGGAAGAGTCATTCCTGAACATCAACTAAACCCAATGAATTTCTGTCACTTGGAACATTGGCTTCTGGTAGCCTAGCTGGTCAAACATGGCACCAAACTCATTCAACTTACATATCCAGTGCTTTAGGAGATGTTATTGCTGCTGAGATGGTCTACTCTTCTCTCTCCGTCTAACACAATTAGATACAGACAGACCCCTTGATTACGCTTCATGTCTTTACTTTGGGCTTCACTTAGCTAAATGCATTTTAGAAGGTGTTAGCTCAAATGTACCTGTCAGGTTCAACATGTGACGTAAATTTGTTCTAATATTTATTTGTGTCTTTCTGTCACAGATTCAGGCATTTACACGTACCCTCATGTCTGTGTTTAGGGTAAGGCAGAAACTTGAAATTCCATTTATAGGTTAGGTCAGCTGTGGTATAGTTTATAACATTCCTCCTGTGGAAAACTCTTTGTTTAAATTTCTTGCTTGAAGCACTGACCTCTGTGAGGTACTACCTGTGCAATAAATAACTCTTTTAAATGTTAGCAAACTTGAATTGACAGATGCATCTTTACTGCTGTTTTTTACTCACACCACTTGTAATATTTGTGAAAAAAAATACTACATTTAAAAACAATTCTATGTAACTAGGTTTAAAAAGAAAAAAGAATACGATTTGAAGGTGATTGGATAGTAGCTTTCTGAGTAATATAAACTGTTGCTCAGACAGTCTTACACTGTATTTTTGTTGGCCTTAAGTGTTGGATTTATTGGGAAATGTTGAATGGGATACAGTACAAGGGTTTGGATGCCAGCATACTTAAGTGCCTAAAGCTTTTTGTAATTTGTACTTGACACATGGTTATTGTAGTTGCTAAAGGTGTGTGCTTGGGTTCTCATGTACGGACTGTATGTAAAAAGGGATTTGTAAAAGTCTAACTTGGGATGCATGTGGGTTTTATTGAAATCACTAATATTTATTTTAAATAAAAGACTATCTCTCCCAATATGTTTGTTTTTCATTCCTGCAAAACACATCTTGCTTGTTGTACTCCACATGGGTGGAGTAAGCTATGTAACCAGGAAAATCATCTGACCCTTTTAAGAGACTTCATATCCAGATGGAATGTGTATTTGCTTTCTTCTCAACTATAGGGAAACTCGGTTCAGATATTTGCCTCCTGATTTTTTTTATTATCTTATTCCTCTCGATGTTTAATTATGCACTGCCCTCGCCCGCAGCAAAAATAAGCTTTGTGAAGGTTTTTCACTTTGGCAAATCCTTCCAATAAACTGTCTTAGCAATAAGAAACCTTTGTCTCCTTCTGGATCACTACAGGACACCCTTTCCCCCTCCTACTTGCTCTACATCGGGGAAAAAAACAAATGGTTGTGGATGGAAAACTTTTCTAACGGTGCAACTCAATTCGAAAAGTGTCCAAAATAGTGTCCAGAACAACGCACACTTCAAAAGCATAAGCAGATTAATAGTAGGCACTATGATTTGGGAGAGATGCAGTTATTTGTATGGGATCCATTTACTTCCATGTGTGTTTTATCTGCATTATCGTGCATATATTCTGGTCTGTAGAGATCTCAAAGCGATCCATTCCCTTATTTATACTTTTTAAAATGCAGCTGTTTTTCCTTGGTTTCAGTGTTTTGCAGCAGGTGTGCAAAATATGTTTGCAATAAGCTGAAAATTACTGTCTTTGCATTTTAAGAGGGCAGTTTTCGGAGCACCCCTAAGATCTGCTATGAGGGAAATCAGACTGAGTGGTCTTACCATTAAACACCTAATAGATGGAGAACATGGGACATATCTAACACGTGAATGGGAAAGATCATACGAGTTCTTAAAGGAACTGGTGTCCCTGTAATTTTTCTCTCTCACTGTGTCCTGGTTTCATGACTTTGCTGACCCATAGTACATCGTGAATACCATTTGAAGAATCACTACTGCCCATTAATGATTCGTCGTGTAACTATTTTTTAAAAAAAATCCGGAGTATAATTGACATTTTGTAACTAAGTAAAGGTATTGCCGAATACATAATGGACCAAAGGTAACAATAGATTTCCAGTAAAATTCAGATCTATCAGTACCACTTGTATGTTGTACTTTTTATTATAAATTATTATTGAATAATAATTTGATCACTCAATCCACGACTGTTTGTGGGACATTGCTGTGCGCGATTGGCTGCCGCGTTTCGCTCATAAAATATACAATCAATTCATTCTGTGAAGCACTTTGAGATGTCTTGAAGACGTGATACGGCGCTATATCAAATGCAAGGATTATTATTATTATGTCGTTTTTTTGCTGAACCTGTCTTATCTTCAGCACAGCCTGTATATGAAAGTAAGACAAATTGTTGACCAACTGTAAAAATTGCTGCACTTCTTCCGTATTTACATCCAAGGTGCAATATTTTTGCTGTTACCTTTTACCAATCTAACTAATAAAAATATTGTTAAGATTTAAGCACTTCTGCAGCTTCTTTATCAATACGTTTAGCTGGAACATTGTTGATTTTTTTTCTTGCCTGTAGTTTCGAGCTGAGTTGGTGATTAGTTTACTACAACAACCCCAACAACTTGCATTTTTGTAGCACAGTTCACGCGAGATAGTGTCCCTGAGTGCTTGACAGTGGTGGAGTCTGACACCAAGCCAGGGGAGTGGTGCGTGACAATAAGCACGATCAAAAATAGTTAGGGTTTTGTTGACTGAGTTAATATTAAGCAGCGTGCTTCCAAATGTGCAGTCATAAAATATTAGCAAGATGTGGCTTCCTCCACAAAGCCCTTAAAAGAGAATTTGTTGGAATATCATCAAGACTCCAGCTTCCCCTGACCCTGTGATACAGTCAAGATGATGAACTTATTTAGTGATCCGTATTTGTGATGTGGTTTTCCATCACACACATTGTAGCAAATAGTCACAGCACACGGTTACTGTTATTCAGACTCTGTTATAATTTTTAAATGGGGTGAGATCTTTTAACTAAACTCAGCAAATTTTCATTTGTTCTGTTGGAACTAACGAAAGGACAAATGGCTATTAAAGTCACACTACTATAGGCTGTTTGACTCTAGTGTTAATTTAAGCAATAAATCAATACTGAATACTGTGATTTATTTTTATTATTCTTGAACTAAAACTCTTAAGACAGAATGAGCCCGGAATAGATGAACACATATGTAATAAAATAGACTTCATCGCTGTTTAGTAATTGACCTGAACAGGCAGTAGCCTACAGTGAATGATGTTAGAAGGCAATAGGGCAAAGCTATAGACTGCTAATGTTCCAAAGCACAGGTTACAGTCCGATCAAAATGGGTGTGAACATTTCCGCTGTTAGCTTTGAGAAATATTAACTGCCAGATATGGGATAATTACCGTAAAATGATTGCCCATCAGGTTACAGAAATGGCAATTATCACAACGCACTCCAGGTGACTTCTGTAACCTGAGGTCTCGTCAAGGAACCCTTAGAGAAACAGCTTCAAGCCACAGCAATCAATTCCAGTCAGTATTTTTCATGTGCCTGATTTATCTGTTAAGTATCTGCTTCAGCGAGCTAATTCCTGGAAGGGGAACTACTCTATGCTGAAACCTGATTTGCATCCGTTCTCAGGCAAGTCGGCTAAAACTCATGTCTTCTCCTGACTCTTAAGTTTGCGACGTGAAATTAATTTAACCTAAAAAAATTCTAGGTACCAGTAGACAAGCATCCAAAAAATTGCCTCAAAGTTATACCAAATGATTAATCATGTGGGAATGGAATTGTTTACATTGGCACAGTAGGGATATTGTTCTGCGGTTGGTCTTAAATTCCACACGATACAATGCCAACAACTTTAATTTAATTTCACGCTAACTTGTGTCTTGGAGATCTTAACAATGGCGAGCTTGACTCTGAGCTGGGGAGGAAGGGGAGGTGACCGTAGGCATGGCCAAAGAGAAAGGTCTTCTGTAGCAATCTGAAGATGGGCAAAGGCTGAGGGATTGAGTGAAGGAGTTCCAGAGTTTCAGGCATCGTGTAGGGAAAGCTCAGAAATGGAAAATTTCCGTGTTCACTGTCATAAGCTTAAAATATGAAAGGAATCTTAACCTTTCAAACTGAGATCATTTTAGGGAGGGAAGAAACAAGTAATTCTTAAGCAAATTGTGTGTGTTTTTTGTGATTAATGGCTTCAACAAATGGTAAGTTGTCGCTAACAAACTTCCTGCCGTCTGTGCTTTTACAACACTTGTTTGACTTCTTGAAGATTCAAACACTTTCCAAAGGAGCTCAGAATGATTGCTGGTATTGGTTTTATTCCTGTTTGGATACTGTTTTATACTGAGCGTGAACTCATCTATGCATACCCATTAAGTTGATGGATGGCGTCAGCTTTGGCTCATTTTCCTTTGTGCTGGATGCCGTTTGATCCACCAGCAACTCAGTTATTTCTGAGTCGCTGCGTATTGTAGATAGAAATTTAGAATATGGCTCTTTTTATCCTATTAGTATTAGTGACATCGAAATGGTTTTCTGCTTACCAAAGTGTCATTTGTAGTGTAGTGTTTATCATTTGTGGAGGAAATAACAAAAGGCTGAGCTCAGAATAGAGTCTTTATTGCATTGTGAATAAAGGTAACATTTAACTTTCTTTTAAAATGGTCTTTTGTTGCTTCATCACGAAGGATTAAAAACACATTAGCACATTATCTATTAGTGTCACAACTAGCATATAACCACTTGGAACTATGTCCAGTGAGTTTATGGGTCTATGCTGGTGAAATTTCTAATGAAAGTTTGAGTATTGTTTGTAGGACAATTTTTACCAGGGCTTGTGTGTTTTGACATCTACCTAAGACATGTACATTTATGTTTGTGTGTGTTGACAAACTAATACTAATTGGAAGACATTTCTTGTCAACATCCCAAATCTTTGCGGGCCCAAAGATAGCGCGGTAGAGATTTCCAACATCATCACAAGATATTGTATTTACAAGACAGAAAAACATAATTGCAGTAAGACATGTTCCAACTTTAGTTAAACGAAGTGTTCTTCTGCAATAATTAATCATATGAAGCCCTTATGTACTGAATGTGACAAATTGTAAAATGTGTAGTTATTTTGCAGCTGTGCAGTTGAAAAGCACAAACAACTGGAATCCACCATCAGCACTGGAAATAAAGCTAAGCTATTGACTAACATCAATCTTAGTGTAGGTTTTTTAGAATGGTTAGAAGTTAGAATGGCCAGCTAATCTGGTGTCAACCTTTTTGTTTTTCATTCCGATCCACCCTTGTAGTATTTCTGATGAGAATGATCATATTTGCTGAATTTGGGGCAGTTCTGTTGTGCGTCCTTGCACTCACTAGGAGCTGGGTTGAAACATCACATTAAAGAACCATCTGGGAGTCAGATTTTTCTTTCATTCTGTCATATATATATCTCAGAAAGGGTTAATGATGCAGGAACTATATTGTATGTCTGATTATATGTTTATGCTAATTATGAATCGGATTTGATACCGTTGATGAGTTCTACAATTAAGCTGCTTTTTTACATATTAAATGCAGCACATTGATGCTTTCACCCTTCATAATGGTGCAGGAATGTCTGAAGCCATAAGGATCACTGCTCTAAGCATGTAAGTGACTTGATAGTTGCTTTCACTGCATCAGATCCCAGAATTGCACAGGGTAATAATAATAATCCTTGCATTTGCGACTTATCACGTCTTCGAGACATCTCAAAGCACTTCACGGGTACTGGATTAATGAATTCTGACAAGTATTTCTCTTTCCATGTATTACACGAGAAAGCTCAGCGATAGCAAATATGATTCTTGCAGTTGCTGAATGGTTAGCAATTTTGTATCAAGTTACATTTAAAGATGGTATTTAATGTCATAGTGTGTTTTAGCAGTTTCTGGCTGGGTCACCATCTCACTGTGAATCTGAGCTCAGCAGATAAGCAGACCTGGCTTATCACTTAACGGACTTCA